CTGAAATCGACCGCGTGCAGTTGAATTATCTGGCAGGATATATCAGCACCGATGTGAATCAGCTGCTCGGGACAAAAAAAAAGAAAAAAGTCTGTGAGCTGGCAGCTTCTGGAGTGACGAAACTAACCGAACAAATCGCCTCTAAATCATCTGGTGAGTTAATTATCTGCTGTGCGCAACGTTCACTTGCTTTTTAGTAAATAAATCRAAGCCATTTTCTTTTATCTTTATTCACCCGCCGAGGAGACGCTCCTCCCACACCCGTGCGTTCTTCTGTCTGAACATTGTGCGTCCAACGAGAGGCGTTTTGCGCTTTTTGGCCGCTCAAAACGCGTTTGGTGTGAACGTAGCATTAGTTGTAACATTAAACTTTATTTGATAAACATTTATTTTAACTGTAAAATAAAAACTGTAAAAATACTGTAGGCTGTTTAGTTTTGTAATTTTTTTTTAATATATTTTAACACGGACGGGGCCATTTTATTTACACGCAAAGCATTCTGGGTAAATGATGACATGGATAGGTCCTCGGTGTGAGGTTGCTAGGAGCTATATCCACCCTGAAGGTTAATCTTGGACAATATCTGACGATCGACTCTTTTAAATGAAACCAGAGAGTGTTGACAGAGAGGAGAAGGTAGAAATGACTCAGCCTGTAACTGAAAATATGGATGGAGGACAACAGAGCTGCTTCATGGAAGAAGAACCTCAGCTTAGCCTGTTAGCCTTCGCGCTAGCCCTCACACCATTTAGCCTTATTTGTATTAGCTTGGTGCTACAAACAAATTAAACTGAGGTCCTCCATCCATATTTTCAGTTACAGGCTGAGTCATTTCTACCTTCTCCTCTCTGTCAACACTCTCTGGTTTCATTTAAAAGAGTCGATCGTCAGATATTGTCCAAGATTAACCTTCAGGGTGGATATAGCTCGCTAGCAGCCTTGCAGCTGATATCATCATTTACCCAGAATGCTTTGCATGTAAATAAAATGGCCCTGTCCGTGTAATGTATTT